CCATAACACGCCATGAGACATGGGGTTTGGGGTCCACCTACCGGGCACCGAACTAACAAAAAGTGATCTGGATGACCACAGCGATCTGCTTTCCCATGTCTAAGTAAATATTTAGAAAGAACAAAAGAAGACCTTTCCAACGGTGTAATTTTCAGGTACAACGGCTGGTCGTACACCCCCCTTCTACAGGGAGCGTGTACCTGCCTAGTAATAGTATCATAGTACTATATTACTATATATAGTACTATTTCATACTATACTATACTATTTGGGAAAATAAATATAGTATTTTTGCCAACCCTAAACGTGTGCGTGTGTGTGTTTCTCCCTTTTGGCGGCGCAACATGCTCCAAAACCGCGGCGCAGCGCGAGGCAAACAATCCCCTGAAAACCAGCCCCCCCCCAACAGGCCCACCTGCAGCTCCTCCATTTCCGCTTCCATGGACTCCACCTGCAGAGCCCAAAGACGGGCGGGAGACGGGCGGGAAAAGAATGAGGCAAGAATGAAACAGGTAGGAAAATCAATCGTATGCAAGGAGCAAAAAATACAACCAAGGGAAAAGGGGGAGAGCGGCGAGAGACCCACATTGCAATAAACCCTGTGCAGTAAGGAAAACTACAAATAGAATGAAGCATTACAAGAGCAAAAACTGCAAGCGGTGCCTATTTCATGGGATGCGTGTGGTGAGAGAGGTGGTCATGTGGAGGAGGAGGAGGAGCACATCTGCTGGTCCACGCAACACGGGAGTAGACGTATTAATTGTTACAGGGTGGGTGGCTTCTGGGCCTATGCAAATGACAGGCATTGCCAGCACATGCGCGTTGAGGAAGCAAGATTAGGGGCTTAAGATTAGGATTAGGGCCTCCACGCCAATTCGTGCCGCCGTGAGCACGGGAGCTCTGCTTCCTTGCAGACCAGCCCTTCGTCCATCGCCCTTCCTCCATCGCCCTTTCCCTCCCGTATGCTGCGGCCTCATGGCCGAAGCCATGAAACCCGACATACACCGCATCCGCTCACGCCTACCTTCTCAGTAAGCTGATCCACGACCGTCTTAATCAAGTCCCGCGCCCGATCCTTTGCGCGCTGCGTAGAATCACGGTCGGCTCCCCCTGCTGCGCTGCCCTTCGCTTTGGCCTCCATTTCGCAAGCCTTGAAACGCTCCATATCGCGCTCTATAGACTTGCGTGCATCGATCAACGGCTGCTTGTCCTTGATATCCGCTCCAGCGATCCTATAATAGCCAAAGCAGTCGACGCATGAGCGACGCTTAGCTTGCTGCGTCCCGCGATCCCCACCCTGACGCACCATCCCTTTATCTGCTCTCGCAACCGCTGCAGCTTCTTAATCTCCTTCTTAAGCTCTCCTTCAAGCTTCTCCCGCTGATTCTGGTTTTCTTGGTCGTGCGCTTGCTTGTGAGCCGAGTACTGCGGCATGGCAAGCTGCCGTTAGACCTCGTCCGGG